TATAAGAGCGGCTGCTCTTTAAATTGTTATAACTCAAGAACTATTTGAGATATCGATTTTAAATTTTAATATGTTATTTTTAAAGGTGTAATCTACCGAAATATGAAAAAAAATTTTTTGATTTTTTTAAAACTTCACACTAGTTGTGCCCCTTATAACACCGAAGAAAGTTCAAAGTCCAATCCACGATACGAAGATGCGTAATATATATAAAGAAACACAACATAGGATCGCCTTATCGTTGGAACAAAGTCATTCCACCCCCTCCGTGGAAATTACACTCCTTCGCCATTGACACAACACTCCATTTTTTTTTTTTTTTTTTTTTTTTAATTACGGTATTTAATTATCGGACCTTCTCTCAATGAGACTAACGACAAGTATTCAAATCTTAGCCTAATACATATAATTAATTAATTAAAATTAAGATTAAGTTTTTTTTTTGTGGTAAAACGGCCCTAGCTATTGTTGCTGGGTGGGGAGGTCTCTTCGCCGGACCCCACGGATCCCACGTTTAAATCCTTGTGAATATTTTCATTTCGTATGTACCACGGTGCACCCGTTATTGTTCTTAGTATTTTTGATTGGGCTCTCTGGATCACTTCTAGGTTAGCTCGGAGCCATACTTCCAAATTGGTTTGAGAACTACATTGTACAGAAGTACCTTGTACTCCAATTTAAGCGGAGAGCGAGCATTTATTAGCCAGTGTAGGCTTCTTGCTTTTAATTTTAGTTGTGTTCTCTTGGCTTCGATGTGCCTTCTCCAGGTAAGCCGTCTATCAAGGTGGACTCCAAGATACGTTACTTCCGTTGTTTGTGGAATATGGATGTTGTTCAGAGATGGTGGGGGGCAAGTTTGTCTATTAAGGGTAAAAGTAACGTGTTTGCACTTTTGCTCGTTAACCTTTATGCGCCAATCTGCTAGCCATTTCTCCAAAAGCCCGAGATGAGCTGATAGATTTTGCGTTGCTCTCGTGGGGCACTTAGATCGACTTAGAATGGCAGTATCATCAGCAAATGTTGAGGTTATTGTAAGGCCGGTTGTCGGAAGGTCTGCTGTGTAGATTAAATACAGCGTTGGTCCAAGCACGCTTCCTTGAGGTACTCCAGCTTCGATTGGATGGTAATCGGAGAGGAAATCTTTACACCGTACAGCGAAACTTCTATGCACAAGATATGACTCCAGTATTTTGTGGGTGTTCTGTGGTAGCAAATTTTGAATTTTATAAATCAAGCCGTCTAACCAAACGCGGTCGAAGGCCTGGGCGACATCCAGAAAGACTGCGGAACAGTACTCTCGACTTTCAAATGTATTTCGTATCTCTGCGGTTTTCGGTTCACTTGTTCAATGGTTCCGTGTTTCTCGCGGAAACCAAATTGGTGGCTTGGGATGGCATTATGGGACTGCAGGTGTTCTTTTATACGATTCAGCAGAAGCTTTTCAAATATTTTTGATAGGCACGGCAGAAGACTGATTGGCCTATATGATGAAGGCTGGGACTTGTCCTTTCCAGCTTTATGGATCATAGTGATAACGGACTTTTTCCATTGTTGTGGATAGTAGCCCCATTTCATCATGCTGTTGAATATGGTGGTAAGAAGATTTACTGCACAGCTTGGCAATTCCATAATCATTTTCGGGGAGATTAGATTTTCCTGAGCCTCGATCACTCTTGTCACTTCTCTTGGTTCGAATGCGATAGGCAGGGTAGCCTCTGGAGTGATGATTGTTGGGAGCACAAAGCTGTTTGTTGATGGAAGCGGTTTGAAGACGTTTTCCAGATGCGCAGCAAATACATTCGCCCTCTCTTCGTTGCTGCGAGCCCACTCTCCTGTTTGTGTGTGTAATGGCGATTCGCTTTCGGTTGGTGGACATATACCCGATTTAGCTTTCCACAGTGGATATCGTCTGCTGTTAGGGGAGAGATTCTGCAAATAGAAAAATTGAGATCGATTACTTTCATCTTCTAGGGCTGGGCGTAGAAGATAGTTGGCTGTTTTAAGCTGTTTTAAGTTTGAGGCAGGCGATCTGTGGGCTTGCCACTCCCTCCGAAGCCTTCTCTTATTGCGTAGCAGTTCGTTAATATGCCCAGAAGCTCGACTGTTGCTAAAATTAGAATTAAAATTACAAGCCGATATAGTAGGTGTGGAGCAGAGAACTGCAAAAATCACTATTTTCTTGATTTAATCATACGGGAACTTTTTCAATCAACTCAACTCACTGAACAAAACACAGGGATGAGTAAAAATCAACTCATTTTGCCGTACACGTCATTCTGATTATCTTGAGTCTTCGGTTCAAAATTTCTCACTCAATTCAACTCACTGAATAAAAAACAGTGATGAGTGAAAATCAACTCATTTTGCCGTACGCATCATTCCAATCAAAAAAACAAGCATGCTATGACTCATATTTCATTTTTGCAATTCATCATTAGTTGCACTTTGTCATTTGACTGATATGGAGGGTATCTGTTCGGAGCAGACAGCCAGCACCTAATTTTATGCACATAGGTGTAGGGAGTTAGGAGCCGCTCTTAAAGACTCTCTTATGTTTGTTATCTGCATTATCTATAATCATCAAAGCGACGGTATAAAGAAGCCGCGCTTTCGGCTTACCTCACCTCAGATCAAGCATCAACTCATCTCGCATACATTGTTCGCGCAAACATCAAAAAACGAAAAAACATAAAGGTTGCAACTCCAAAATAAACATACTTTAATTAACTTAACCTACTCGTGCGTTATTTAATTACAAGGGTGGCATATTGGTTGTCTTCCCCATAAACATTTTGGTGACCCCGACGTGATATTCGTTCACGTAAATTTCGTTTAAATCGGAGTCTGCAACTCAGTTTTCGTTCGTTTTAATTTCGCTTAAACATTTTGCCATTTGTCGTCGTTTGCGGGCATTCGGTCATAAACACACAAACGCGCATACAAAGTGCATTTAGCCGGGCGTTTGATTTTGTGCATTTCGAGCTGTTCTTTCGCTTTTGCTAATCGGGCAAAAACTGTGAACAAATAACAACAACAAAACAAAGTTCCCTAACCTTTCGGTGACGCTTGGTGCTGTAAATTTTCGCGCTTTAAACCACAGGGTGTTGTGTGCAAAGCAAACTCTATAAGAAATTACTTTTTGCTTTTTATTTTTTTTGTGAATTACTAAAATGCAAAATTCGGTGAACGATAGTCAGCCCCAAAATGGCCCAAGTGAAATTGAATTTTTTCGGGCCAAAGTGCAATCCATTTTGCGGCAAGTCAACGCGCTCAAAAATTATTTAGTGGCCAACAATATCGACCAATTCGACGAAGCCGATATTCATGCGCGGTTAAAGTGGATCGAGGCACAGAACTTGGCGTTTGATTCCGCCCAGACAGCGCTGGAGAGGCTGGACTTTGCCGAGCTTACGGGCGACACAAGGATGGAGTTTTCAGGAGTCGTAATGGATGTGGAGGCTAAGCTTAATCGAGGCTTGGCGGCTCAGCGAAAATTGCAATTTGCTGGAGCCACAGCTGCCAATTCGACAAGTTTTGAATTAACAAATAATCCAGATTTTTCGTTGCGGTCTAGGAAGCCTCGATTACCAGCGTTAGAGATTGCGCGGTTTTATGGATCCTACTCCGATTGGCCGGACTTTTTCGCCACCTTCAGCACGGTGATCGGAAATAATGAGGAGCTGACTGGAATCGAAAAATTGCAATATTTACGGTCTAGTTTAGGCGGCGTGGCTCTGGAGACCATACGCTCGCTAGAGCCTTCGAACCAAAATTATGAAAAGGCTTTGCATTTGTTAATAAATCGCTTTGATAATAAAGTTCTGCATTTTCAGGCACACGTGAAGGCGATATTTGGGTTGAAGGGTGTCGAGGAGGGATCAGCAACGGGTCTTCGGGAGCTCAGCGACTTCATAAATTCACATCTTCGAGCAATACGGACCTTGGCCAGTGTGGAACAAATTTTAGACGGATTTCTTATTCACATCGTCGCTCACAAGCTGGACCAGAGGACTCTAGAAAGATGGGAAGAGACCTTGCCCATCGCTGAGCTTCCAGCATGGACTGCCATGGAGTCGTTTCTGGAGAAGAGGTGCAGGATGATGGAGAACCTGGATCAAGCCTTGGTAATCCAAACACCAGGCCAACAGGTGGGAAAAAACTTGCACAGATATCACTCAAATGCAATTCTTGCCTCTGCTACGACCCTAAATTCTACTGTATGCCTGTTTTGCAATAGTAAGGACCATTTCCTGCCGAAATGTTCGCGATTTTTAAATTTGAGTCCAAATATTCGATACAGAGAAGCAAAGAAGGTGCACCTTTGCCTAAATTGTTTGCGCAAGGGACATAGTTTGCAACAATGTAAAGCTTCGCATTGCAGACATTGTCGGATGAGGCACCACTCATTATTGCACATGGCCTCGGATCCCTCAAGTTCGAACTCAATGGCGTCTCCATCATCCGACCCACTCCTGAGCTCTCAGACAGTACCTTCCGCTTCATCTGCATTAGTTTCGCGCTCACATTCGCATTCTAATCAACATTTGGCAAACCCTCCACCCAGTGCCTCAAATAATATGCCGACGGAATACGTGTTGCTTCCAACTGCCATAGTTTATGTTAAAAACAGAGTTGGTGCTCTCATGCCTTGCCGAGCCATTCTAGATTCGGGTTCCCAATTAAATTTCATTACTTCGCGCCTAGCTAGCCAGCTTAATTTGAAGCACAGGCGATCGCTCACACTCGTTTCTGGAATCGGAGAATCTTCCATGAGCGCTGATAGGGCAGTTGATATTCTAGCGCAGTCACGGGATGCAGGCTATCGTGCAGCATTCACAGCTGTAGTGACTCATAGTATCACTGACTATCAGCCTCATTTTGACATAAATGCAGCAGGATGGAGAATTCCAAAGAACATTTCGCTCGCGGATCCTCATTTTAACGATTCACAACGTATTGACCTCTTAATTGGAGCTGGTCTGTTCTTTGAAATAATTACTATGGGGCAAATTCATTTGGAAAACAACTTGCCAACACTGCAGAACACCAAGCTTGGTTGGATCGTTTCTGGAGGGATGTCAAGCATTCCAAATCATAAGTCTGTCTTAGCTGCCGTTATTAAGGATCCAGTCAATCATTCTGATGATGAAACGCTTACTGCTATTGTAAAACGATTTTGGGAAATAGAAGACGTTAGCTCAGCGAAGCCAGTTGTGTTGCCTGAGGACTTGCGGTGCGAACAACTTTTTAAGGAAAACTGCACTAGGCTTGAGAATGGTCAATACTCTGTTCGCCTCTTGTCCGCTTCAGGATTCGAATCTTTAGGTGATTCCTATTGCCTGGCTCGTCGTCGTTTCAAGAGTTTGGAAGCTAAGCTAGATAGAAACCCAGCCCTGAAGGTTCAGTATTCGTCCTTTCTAAAGGAGTATATAAACTTAGGACACATGTCCCTCGCAGCAAAGGATCCAACGGTACCGCAATTTTTCTTGCCTCACCATTGTGTACATAAGCATGAGAGCACGAGCACAAAGCTTCGTGTCGTCTTTGATGGGTCTGCTAAAACGACTTCTGGTACGTCCTTGAATGACTTACTTCTCGCAGGGCCGACCATTCAGCAAAAAATCTTTAACATATTGCTTCGCTTCAGATTCTTTAAAGTAGCTCTTTGTGGAGACATCTGCAAGATGTACCGCTGCGTACGTGTTTCGTACCCGGATGATTTTTTGCAGTGCATCGTTTGGCGAGAAAATTCATCGGATGAGTTGAGTGTTTACAAGCTAAACACGGTGACCTATGGAACAAAGCCAGCTGCCTTCTTGGCTATAAGAGCCATGCATCAGCTCTCTTATGATGAAGAGGAATCATTTCCAATTGGAGCAGAGATTGTTCGTAGAGATTTCTATGTCGATGATTTAATTTCTGGGGGCGAAACGATTGAAGAGGTGAGAGAAATTCGTCGTCAGGTAAAGAGTCTATTGTCGCGAGGACACTTTCCAATCCGCAAATGGTGTTCGAATGAGTCAACTGCCCTCGAAGGAGAGTCGGACTGCGATAAAGAGCAGCTTATTAAATTTCACGATGGATCAGATATCGCCAAGGCATTGGGGCTAGCTTGGGACCCTTCTTCTGATCAGTTCCTGTTCAATTTTTCTCAGATATCGTCAGGTCATAGAGTCACCAAACGGATCGCATTGTCAACTATAGCCAAATTTTATGATCCTCTCGGGTTAATAACGCCAATCGTTACCAAATCTAAAATCTTCTTGCAATCTCTATGGAAGTCTAATGTGGATTGGGATGACGCATTGCCAGAGCCCATTCTTTCGTCATGGGGGGAGTTGACCTCTCAGTTGTCGATCGTCCAGAACTTGAAATTTCCACGATTCGTAGCGCGTCCGCAAGCGACCATCCAGTTGCATGGATTCTGTGATGCTAGCACAGCAGCTTATGGAGCTTGCCTATATTTGCGGTCGGAGGACAATGAAGGCACAAGAGCCTATCTACTCTGCGCCAAGTCGAGAGTAGCCCCGTTGAAGGCCTTAACAGTTCCAAGATTGGAACTTTCAGCAGCACTTTTATTGGCAGAGCTTATCGTAAGCGTCAAGGAAACCATAGATCTCGATTGCGCCTTTCATTGCTGGTCTGACTCGTCTATCGTGTTGGCGTGGATTAGGCAGCCTCCTAGGGAGTTCAACGTGTTTGTATCCAACCGAATCGCAAAAATTCAGGAGATGACGAAAGGAATGTCTTGGCATCATGTTCCAACCAACCTCAATCCGGCGGATGTCGTGTCGCGAGGCTGTACCCCTAAAGAATTGCTGGAGCATTCTCTTTGGGCTAATGGACCTCCATTTCTTTTGCAGAACTCATCGGAATGGCCTTCCTTGCTTGATGTAGCAAAGGATCTTCCAGAGCGTCGTGCCGCGACTCTAATTGGAACCGTGTGCGTTGACATTTCTGTTAACTGCAAATTCCTTAACACGTTTGATAAGTTGCAGCGTGTATTTGCGTACGTGTATCGATTTATTTCGAATTGCAGGTCCAAGCCTCTACTCTCAAATAGCCATCTTTCCGTTGAGGAGATCAACTCGGGGACCGTACTTCTTCTAAGGAGCATCCAGCAGATTCACTTAGCCAAGGAGTATGGAGTTCTTAGCCAGAGCAAGCCGTGTCCACAGAAGAGCAAACTGATTTCGCTGAGGCCAATTCTTGGCACCGATAGATTACTTCGCGTTGGTGGAAGACTTCAAAACGCAAACTTGGACTATGATACGAAGCATCCGATATTGCTTCCCAAGGACCATCCAGTCACCAAAGCAATTATCGTGTATTTTCATAAAAAATACATGCACGCAGGATCGCAGGCGTTGCTTGCCACATTACGACAAAGATATTGGCCGATTGGAGGTCGGAAGTTCGTGGCTAGCGTCATCAACAAATGCGTTAGATGCTTTCGGATGAGGCCTGTGACTTGGGAGCACGTCATGGGTAATCTTCCAGCGAATCGAGTTCAACCTAACCCAGCATTTCATACGACAGGAGTCGACTATTGTGGGCCATTCTATCATAAAGCAGAGTCCCGGAACAAGGCACCGCACAAGTGCTACATCGCCGTCTTTGTCTGCTTTTCCACGAAGGCCGCTCACTTGGAAGTCGTCCAGGACCTCACAACAGATTCCTTCATAGCAGCTCTGAGAAGGTTCATCAGCCTTAGAGGCAGTCCGCGAACTATCTGGAGTGATAATGCGACCAACTTTGTCGGCGCCAAGAGCGAGTTAGGCGAACTGAAGGAATTATTTTTGAGCGAGCAACATATAGCTTCGATAGCTTCTTCGTGCCTAGCGGACGGGATAGATTGGAAGTTCATACCTCCGCGTGCTCCACACTTTGGTGGCCTATGGGAGGCCGCTGTCAAATCGGCCAAGTTTCACTTCTACAGAGTCGTCGGTCCATCCATCTTATCCCTCGATGAATTAAGAACTCTTGCTTATGAGATTTCTGCTATCCTTAACTCACGTCCCCTCTGTCCAATTTCAGAAAGCGCTGAAAGCCTCGAGGTGCTAACGCCGGCGCATTTCTTAAAGGGTTCCAGCTACACCAAATTTCCTGAGCCGGATGTCACGCATCTCCTTCAAGGCCGCCTCAGCAGATGGCAAATTGTGACCCAAATGCAGCAACTATTCTGGAGAAGGTGGAGCAGCGAGTATTTATCACTTCTTCAGGAAAGGAGCAAATGGCGTTCCGAAGGATCTAACATCAAGATCGGAAGCATCGTGTTGCTGAAGGAGGACAACATTCCATCATTGAAATGGCCACTTGGACGAGTTGAGGAAGTCATTCCCGGCGAGGACGGCGTCGTCAGAGTAGTTATGGTCCGTACAGCTACGGGCATCATCAAGAGAGCCGTCGCCAAACTGGCCGTTCTGCCCGTCGATTCCCAACAAGTTGGAACCGTGCCTCTTCCAACGGGGGGAGTATGTTCGGAGCAGACAGCCAGCACCTAATTTTATGCACATAGGTGTAGGGAGTTAGGAGCCGCTCTTAAAGACTCTCTTATGTTTGTTATCTGCATTATCTATAATCATCAAAGCGACGGTATAAAGAAGCCGCGCTTTCGGCTTACCTCACCTCAGATCAAGCATCAACTCATCTCGCATACATTGTTCGCGCAAACATCAAAAAACGAAAAAACATAAAGGTTGCAACTCCAAAATAAACATACTTTAATTAACTTAACCTACTCGTGCGTTATTTAATTACAAGGGTGGCATATTGGTTGTCTTCCCCATAAACAGTATCATTGAAAAAATTCGCGCAAATGAATACCAATTGGCTGCCCGACATAAGGGTAAAAGCAATATTTGGAGCATATTGAGAGAAATTGTTAAGGAGGATGGCGTTGTTCTGGATGGTTTTTTATATTGCCAATCTTGTCATAATCTGGTGAAATACTCACCGAAGCAAACATCAAATTTAAGCCGACACAAATGTTGCAAGTTGCTTAAAGAGTCAAAATTGTTGACTGCAGCGAAACCAGAAGACAAGAAAGATGCTATTGACGCATGTGTGGAATGGGTGACACAGGATTGCCAACCCTTTTCAGCAATCAATGGCAACGGATTTAGGAGCATGGCAAAGTTTCTAGTCAATATTGGTGGAAGGTATAAGGAAGGAGTTGATCTTGATGACCTGCTGCCAGATGCAACAACGGTGTCTCGAGCTACGCAAAAGTTGGCGGATGAGAAAAAAAAAATTATTAAAGATGAGATAGCCGAAGTTGCTAATAGTGGTGGAGCAACTGCCACAGTTGACTTGTGGACGGACAGTTACGTTCATCGCAACTTTCTTGGTGTCACCTTGCACTACCAAAAAGATTTTAAATTGGTAGATCTCATCTTAGGTGTTAAGTCAATGGACTTCGAGCGTTCAACTAGCACAAATGTTTTAAACAAGTTGAACACTTTGTTTGCTGAATTCGGCATAAATAATTTGGACCAAATGAAGTTCGTCACCGATCGAGGCACAAATATCGTCAAGGCTTTGCAGAATAATATTAGGTTAAACTGCAGCAGCCATTTGCTTGCAAACGTTTTGGAGAATGCGTTTAAGGAATCTAACGAAGTTGCTGAATTGGTAGAGATGTGCAAAAAAATTGTCAAATATTTTAAGAAAGCTAATTTCCAGCATCATCTACAAACATCTTTAAAAAATCAATGCCCAACAAGATGGAATTCGAATTTCACAATGTTTAAGTCTATTGTGGACAATTGGTTCAACATAAATGAAATTCTAAAAGAAAAACAAGAAAGCCAACGATTGTTGCTTATAAACATATCAACGCTAAATCAATTGGTAGACTTATGTAGCGATTTCGAGATAATTTTTAAGAAGCTTCAATTCTGCAGTTCTCCATCCCTGTGCTTTGTGATACCGTCAATTGAAAAAATGCGGCATATTTGCTCGCCACAAGAGGAAGATGTACCGGCACTGGTAACATTAAAAGAAAAGATTTCTAATAATGTTGAGAAAATTTGGATTCCAAACATTTGTGTGTGGCATAAAGCTGCTTGTTTTTTGTTTCCACCTGCGTTACAAATGCAGCCTAACGACAAAGACGCAATACAAAAATTTTGCATATCACAAATTAAGTACTTGGACGTTCCATCGACTAGTTCTGCTCAAATTAGCCCAAGCACACAAAACGGCGATTTTTTTTCAGAAATTTCATTTGAAAGCTCAACTTATTCAACAAGTTCACAAGCAGACAAGGAGAGTTTTTCTTTTTTTTCCCCAACCTTATTAAAAAGTCGACACCGAATAGCTTCAAAACACCTGAAGATGAGCTGGAAAGCTATTGCAAAGAAATGGTTTATATAGGAGATGATTTTGATGTTTTAAAGTGGTGGAAGGATAAAGAGCAGACATATCCCAGACTTTCGAAATTCGCACTTAATGTCCACTCAATGTCGGCAAGTAGTGCTGCTGCAGAGCGCGGATTTTCTTTGGCTGGAAACGTAATTACCGAAAAGAGGAACCGTCTTTGCCCAAAATCTGTTGACAACATTATTTTTTTAAACTCATATTATAAAGCATTTGAACATTAATTCTTTTTTTCGATTTTTTAATTTTCTTTAGTATGTAAACAGTGGCGGATTTACCGAGTAGGCAACATAGGCAGCTGCCTAGGGCGGCAAATTTTTAGGGGCGGCAAATTTCGACTGTTAACACTACATAAAATACTACTTTTGAAAATAAGGCTTTGTTGTGTAAAAAAAATCATACGAGTTGATTTTTGTGAGTTGAGTGCTATTCTTGTTCAAAAAAATGATTGTTGAACCGAATTAGTAGCGCCCGAAATCATTGTCCTGAACACGAGCCGAACGATTTGGAGTGAAACAAAAAATCGCTCAGACCCGAGTTGATTTAAAATCTACAACGAAAATGTGAGCGCATGCTAGTTTGATCGGCTGATCCGAACAGTGTGATTATTCGGCTGTTGAGCGCGTACGATTTTTTTTTCATTCAGCCGAAGCCGTTCTCTGGTGTGGAGTGTTGAGCAGCTAGTGACATAACAGACACTAGTGCTTCGACTGAGCTATCAATCTCTTCTTTTTGGTACATGTTTGGGAAGCCATCAATATGGGTACTTACATACTTTCTGTATTTAAGCCAATCTGTTTTACTGGAAGTTAGGAGATGTGTTTGTTTAAAAAGCTGTGGATGGTCGTAGAGAAAAATTAAAATGGGGGAGTGATCCGATGAAAGATCTGATAAGTGTTCCACATGAACATGTCCTCTAGGCACTCTTCTTGTGACGGCAAAATCCATCAGGTCAGGCTTCTTGTTAGGATCTGTTGGCCAATATGTAGGCTTACCTGGAGAGATAATGTCAAGCTTGTTTCTTGGTGTTATTATGGCGTTATACAGCTGTCTTCCTTTCGGATTGGTGAGTCGAGAGCCCCAATGGGGGTGTTTCGCATTGTAATCACCAGCCGCTATAAAACGGTCACCTAATAGGCTAAAGAACTGTACAAATTCATCTTCGGAAATGGAAGAGCGTGGTGGGCAGTATACAGCGGATAGGTTTAAGAAACCGCTTTGGGTATCGATCTGTATTGATGTAGCTTGAAAAAAGGTTGTTGCGAATGATGGCAACTCATAATGCCTAATGCGTTTCTTGATCAGTATGCCAGTGCCGCCATGTGCCTTACCATCAGGATGGTTGGTTTTATAAAATGAATAGCCATTTAGGTGAAAGTAGTTTTTGTTAGTTAGGTGAGTCTCTGATATAAGCATGGCGTCAATGTCATACTGATCTAGGAACTGCAAGAGCTCATATTTGTGCTGAGAAATGCCATTCGCATTCCAGAAACATATTTTTAGGGTACCCATCTAAACCGATTTTTGTTTAATTAATAGCTCCAAAAGGAGATTTTGAGAGCGCATAAGTTCCTGCAGCGTTTGCTGTATTGCTACCATTGTGTTGGTTATAGTTACCAACATTGCTTCTACGCCATTAGGCAGTTGTGTATTTGCATTCGCATGTTGGCCAGTAGTTTCTGGAGTCTGGTTCAATATTTGTTGCCGCACTGTATCAGCAGTGGTTTGCTGAACTGTCACCTTAGATACTGTGGCGTTCGCCCCGTTGTTGTTACTTAAAGCCTGTGCAAAAGAGACTCCCGGGGTCGTGGTCGTTGATATAAATGGAGAACTGTTTCGGGTTACAGGATTTCGAGCTGCAGTTATGTGTTGGCCTAGTCGACTTTTCAACTCTTTGTAGACAGGACAACCTCTGTAATTTGCAGTGTGGTTTCCCCCACAATTACTACATTTTATTGCAGAATGGTTATCCTTATTTAATGGGCAGGCCTCAGTTGAGTGTGCATCTCCGCAGGCAACGCAGACTGCACGTAGAGTGAAGTAAGTCTTCGTATGACCGTATTCCTGACAATTCATACATTGCACAGGCCCATTCCGCTTGTGGGGCTCATCCACGGTGATCCTACGGTGCAGCAGATATTGAAGCTTGTAAATTGGGTGGACTTCATTATTTTTTAGTTTCAAAATTTCCGGCTCCAACTCTACCTTGAACATTGGCTGTGGAACTTTGTTTTTATTTAATATATTCATAGCCTGTTTGACATTAAAGCCCTTTTCTTTAAGTCCAGCTATTATCTCATAAGTAGGGACTGTTGCTTCGATGCCTTTTATAACTACTTGTAGTCCTTTGCAACTTTTAAGTTGGTAGGTGTAGTAATTAATTTTTCCGTTGTCAAGGTGTTTGGCAACAGATCGATAGTCATGTTCGTTGTTCACTTGTATTTTTGTTTCATTAATGTTTCCCCTTTTTAAGGATTTAACGTAGAAATTGTTTGCTCCTATTTGATCAGTTATTTTTTGACCAATTCAGAACAATTTGCCTGACGTACAAAGATTGGTGGTGACCTTAGTTGCTTGGTCTGAGGTTTTGGAGCGGTTTCATCTTCCTTTGGGTCACTCAAAATAGAAAATCGGTTTCTTGTTAGTGCATTGTTAGGTGCAGTGGCTTCAACTTTCTTGGTGACTTTTGATGCATTTGTTTTTTTGGCTGCATGTGGGCTTAATTTTCTCTTAATTTGCACGTACCGATCGATTCCGGTTTGAATTAACGATCCATTAACATTTTTGATATTTTTGGGTTGGGTATTGGCAACACTCCATGATTTCCAAAAATCAAAAACTCCAACCACAACGTTTAAGCAGCTATTTGAAGAACTTACCCACAAATACTCCGATATGAAATGGCTTTACACCGATGGCTCAAAGTCCGACGCCACAACCACCTTTGCAGTAGTTGACCATAACGGATTAATTGTTTCATGGGGTCAGGTACCTCACCACTTCTCAGTTTTTACTGCGGAAGCAGTTGCTATTATGAAGGCAATTAAATTTGCTATCGGACTTAAGGGAAGTTATGTCATCTACAGTGATAGTCTGTCCACCCTGCAAGGAGTACAAAACTTCT